CCACACCAACTTTTTCTTTTTATTCAAAGCCTGACGAAGTGATCACCTTGGAAAGTTTATATTCAACGAGTAATCTAACACAAAATATCTTTAATTAATAATTAACATGAATTTGTGTAAAAACTCCAGTCATAACCGAACATTTTCCTATAAATTTTTGGTGGGCTTACATGAATATTTTTCTGCTTTACTAACTTCAGTATATTACGTACTAAATGACATAAAATAACTAGATATTTAACAACTATTACATATCGAGTATTAATTTTGGTCCATCCTTATTTTTTACCCGTTTTGTTGAGCTTGTGTCACTTTTACGAATAAATGTATTTTTAATCTAAACAAAAAATGTCTTCTCTACCCGCTTCTCTTAATTTATCCAACTCTGTACCTTCACTTGGCGTGTATCTTCATTTCTTATCTTACCCATTTTATCATAACCACCACATCTATCTAATATTCTCTTATTTCCTTCTATTGTATTCATGTATAAGCTTTGTTCGGTAGAAAAAAATTACGAAAAATTATAATTTCGTTTGATGGTCTCCCTAAATTGTTCTTTCCCAAATTAATTGATCTGTCTTCTAGTATCATCCCTTTTTATATTGTCTTTTAGTGTTTGTTTTCATGAACCATTCAGCAATGAAATTTGACAATTCAGAAGGAGTTAATGCAAGAAAATACAATAGAAAGAGAGAGAGATTTTTTTCCTTCTCTTCTACTGAACAAAGAAACAAAATGAATACATACAAGAGAAGCCATCGCTTTCTTAGAAAAGGATGTATATAACAAATTATAATTATGGAAATTATATACTTGAGAGTATTTTTATAGTTTTTTGGAATTTCCGTTCTCATCTAGAGTTTTACCTCTTCAGAATTTATTTTTATTCATTCCATTATTAGATTTTTAAGTTTAAAACTTGTAAAATATTTCACAAAATATTACATATATCAACATGACGAGAGTATTATAGAGGTGTCAAGGTTGAGCAAATGGCCAAGCACGTAAGGTTGGCTTGAGTAAATTCGTCCATTTCATAATCACTAATGAACGCATCCAAAATAATTAATAATAATCGGAAAAAGTGAATAACAAATTATATGGGTCATGCATGTGTATTCATTGTCATCTGAAAAGTGAAGAGAAGCCTCTAGCTAGCATGTAGGACTTATATGAGTTGTCTCTATCTAAGGGTAAGATCGAGATCGAGATCGATCGAATTTTTAGGTTTGCAATACTTGGACATGTTTCGGTACACTCATTAACAGAAAAATGATGTGCATTCTTGAGCCAATCAATGTTGGAAATTAACTGGCAGTTTTCTCATACCATTTGTCCACTTCGCAAAAAATAAAGAAAAGGATTTTGTCACAACAAAATACAAAGAAAAGGCCATTGTGCGAGGTCACAAATGTATACTATACTACCTCCTTCTTCTTTTTTCTTTTTTCTCTTTTTCCTAATGATTTAAAATATCAGAATAATCCAATATATAAAAATAATATTTTCACTTTCTTAGTATAGTATTGTTTCTAATATTTGACTTAATTATTTCTAAAAATATAGGATTAAAAATGATTGTTCTTTGCCTCTTCTTCATTTTGGGTGTTATTAATTAAGCCCCTGTTTGGCCCCCATTATGGGGAAAAATTAATGTGTGGAATAGTATTTTTTGAAAAATTAGTGATTGAAAAAGAAGGAAAAATTTTCGATTTACGTGTAATATTATTTTATGGAAGATTGTGAGGTTGAAAATATGAGAGAAAAATGAAATGTAATGTAATAAAAATTAATGGGGCTCAAACGTGGGCTAATTAATTACATAGAAATAGTTTTCTTCTTGTATTTCAGTAATAATAAATCTAATTTTGTGACGCTTTAATGTAAATTTGGAAGAATAAATCTACGAGCTCGAGCATTCTTCAAAATTTTAAATTTAAATTAATTTTCTAGAGCAATATGTTGGTTACCAATAATGCAAGTTTCTCTTATCTGAAATTACCAAAATTAAAAAATTAATATAGTAATAGATACATCAATTTGAGCCCCTGTCTAGTTTAGATAAAAATTAATTTGTTAGTAAATTTTGATAAAAATTAATGAAATGTGTAATTGAAAAGTTGATAAAAGTCATGAATTCTATAAAATATGTTGAAAGTGAATTTAGAAAAAACTGAATTTTAAGAAATGGAGCCAAATCATTGTGTGTTTTGTACAAAAACTACATCTAAATTGCTTGTCATAGTATGAACCAGAATTGATAGCACACCAAAATAAGCATTTAACATTCAATTCCAATATTGTACCTTTCTTGTGATTTTCATAATGTATTGTCGAATAGGATTGGACACTATAACAAACAAATTTTTAGTTTATTTTTTCATTAATGCCGACCATTTTTTTTTTTTTCAATCTTCCATCCAAAATATGTCAATATTTGCACATGATCTAGCTAGTCTCGAGAGGAATACATATTTCTTGTGTATTGAATGTTCCACCCTCAATGTCCCTCTAATTAATCCCGAATACTTTTGCCTTTTTGAATGATAGAGTGATCGATATATCTATATGTATGTGTGTCAATCTTTCGCGATTTAAAAGATTTTATTTTTCAAAAAGAAAAGTTTAAGTGTGTATAGAAAACATTTGGAACCTGAAATTATTAAAAATATTATGAACTAAATTAAATTTGTGGGTCACCTCTCGTTGATTAAATTGTTTTTTCTCTTGTTTTAGAATTGATTAGATCCTTAGACATTGAAATATGTTTACAGATGGGGGAACAAGATAGGCTAAGAAGCCAAGCAAGAGTCTAATCATAACATGTTAATTAAAGTATTTCTCTGAGAAATTGTGTAATTTTTAATACTATTATGGACCACTTTTAAAATGTTACACTTTCCCCTCCTTATAACTTAGTATTGATTTGGTTTAATTAAAAAAGTTAATAAAAATTTAAATTAAAGTTAATAATTAATTTTAATAGCATATTTTATGAGACCCGCAACTTTATTTTCAACCGTGCATTCTATCAATTTTTATAAAAATTTACTAAAATTAATTTTTTAGCAAAACGAAACATGGGTTTAATTGCTATACAAGGACTTCATGATATTCTTCGTCGTCTTTTTGGCAGGCACATATTATGACTCATAGTCCATGAACGCGACAAGAGCGCGAGCAATAACATGAGACATGATATTCGTCATGTTCAATTTTGGAGGTCATTTGGAGTAAAGTAAAATTAAACGTTTGTTAAATTACTGAAAACCCATCAATCCTTTCTTTTCTTTTTTTTTTTTTTTGAATATACACATTTCAATTAAGTTCGAAATATGCCTCAACAGATACATCCCTTTTAGGTAGCGTACATATCACATGAAATATGTCTCAATAAAAGGAAAAGTCGTACCAAAACAAATTAAACAATCGGAATAAATGGCTTGCTATCCAAGAGAGTATATTAAGTCCCGTTTGGTATCAATTTTTCACTCCAAAAAATCATTTTGTTGATAGTTACATCACTATTTCAATCGTAATTTTTCACTTCTTCACTCACAGGTGAGACCCATTTTCTTTCTAAAGATAAAAAAATCAATTCTCATTATCACTGTCGAACATGCCTTAAATAACATGAATGAACTATTGCTCATCTTATATTAAGCCCTCGTTTGGTTAGAATTAAAATTAGATTTTTAGTAGATTTTGGTAAAGGTTAATGAAATATGTGGTTAAAAAGTTGTAGGACTCATTAAATATGTTGTTAAAATTGATTGTTGACTTATATTAAAATCCATATTTAAATCATTATCAAACAGGGGCTAAACACCGATGATATGTCATATGCATCCCATGGTGAATTCATCATCGATGCTTAAATGCCCATTAGATCATTCGTAACTAAGCCCCTGTTTGATTTCCATTCTTTTTTCATTAAAATGAAAAATATAATCGTTATCCATCACATCAAATTATTAAATTTAAATTTTTATCTCTTGTGTAGGTTCGTAACGATTATATTTTTAATTCTCATTATTCCAAAAAATAAGAAACAAATGGGTGCTAACTAATTTTACTTTTAAAAATTAGATTGTACAAAGTCGGACAAAGAATGATAGGTATATAATCATCAAGTTAGAAAAGTAAATCAACTCGTGTTCTCACAACCGTTCAGTGTTAGGTAAAATCCAAGACTCAGAAGTCAACCATCCTGTCTTGTATGCCAAATAATTTAACCTAATGGCACAAATACCTAGTCACTTCAATTGACAAGATAACGTAACGGCAAAAACGTATCAGAATAATCAGTGTAAAACCAAGTGAACAATTCCGGTACGGCAACTCAAAATTTTTATTTCGTTTGATAAACATTTTTATGTAAAAATATATTTTAGAATAGTAAATTGATGTGAAATGTGTGGTTGAAAAATAAAGAAATTTTTTTTATTTATGCGTTATATTATTTTAATAACAAATGTGTGATTAAAAAAAGAAAAAAATGCATTTTGAAAAAAAATGACTACCAAATGACACCATAGATATTTGAGCCCTGCTCCCTGTTACGGGTTGGGACAGAGGTCAGGGACAGATGCGCCATGTGGCGCCCCTGTCTTCAACCTTATCCCCAATCAGGGATAGGGAGATTTATTCTTGATATTTTACCTAAACATGAGATGGAAAATAAATTTACTGAGATTATGAGATTGTGTTAATTCACCTAACAAGTTGGTGTCAAACGAATGTGATGGGCCCGTTGGATTGCCTTGGCTAAAATTTTGTGATTGACCCTTAAGGTGGCTATTGAAGTTGTCCCACATCGATTGTGGAGAGGGTTAATATTCAATTTATAAATATGAGGGAAAGCCTCATTTTTTAGCTAACTTTTGGGGTGAGAGAGATCCAATACTGTCCAACAGTTATTTTATCACATTCTTGATAAATAACTTACTAATCTAACTACAATGGATTAAAATTTATTATAAAATATAATTTTTACTAATGCCAACACCATGCATCTATTTTTAACATCTGTCTAGAAATTTGTGCTCCCATATACATTTGGGATTAAACAAGACAAAGAATGAGACGAAAAAATAAATAAAAATCATCTCTTATTCATCGACTGCCACCATCTCTTGTTCTTCATTACATTTGATACTTGGGAATAATATCCACTTCTGCATGCAATTTCTAATTCCTACAACCTGGATAGATTCATTAAGAAAAGAAAAAAATATCATCAAGCATCAACATACAATATTAAACGAAGTCGTCTAAAAAATTAAATTTTTATAAATATTTTATTTTAAACGTACTTCAGTTTTTAACATGTCCCCACAACTGTAGATCAAACTATCTTTTTAATTATTTAATAACGTTTGACAAGGATATTTTTATATAAACTTTGGATGAGTGCTTACCAAATGCATGCTTGTAAGGCAACGGCTGATTTTACATTTCAATTAAATGAAAATAAGTTATTGCTGAACCCTGTCTCACTAATAATTTTTTGTCTTTGTTCATCCACATCCCATAAGAGCTGTCCATTACCCTGAAAATGATCATTTTGTCCATGTTAGACGGAATATAAGTACTTATTTTATCAATAGATTCTGACCTTCAAGGATTATGCCATAATTCTAATCTGGAGATCAATAATTTAATGAAATGAAAAAGATACATACACATTCACAACCACACGCGTTAGTTCATTTCTATTTGTCATAGTAGATGAAATTATCTTATCGCAAGGAAAAACGAGCCACTCGGATTCCTTTATAAATAGTAGAAAGCTATGGCGACCTAATACAAAATATGTATTATCCAAGATACCCCTTGGAGAATCATTTATTAGCCCCCGTTTGTTTCTCATTTTTGCACAAGAGATAGAAATTCAAATTTGGTTACTTGATGTGATAGATAACGGTCATATTTTTTATTTTAATGAGAAAATAATGGAAACCAAATAGGGGCTAGAAAAGTAGGTTGAAAAGCTTGGAGGAGATAAATATACAACCCCTGTTTGGTTCAGCTAAAGTTGATTAAAATTTAAATGTCAAAGTCAATAATTAATTTTAATTACAGATTTTGTGGGATCCACAACTTTTCATTCACTCATTCCATCAACTTTTAATAAATACGTACCTGAGGGAGAGTATTTGGCATATGAGATTGTTGAAATGGAAGGGGAGACAAACTATCCAGACGAGAATAGCAATTGGGTGCCGTCAAGCATGTGTTTGTCTCATGAATGACTGGTGGCTGTATAGGGCTGCATTGTTGCATAGTTGGCAGTTGTGATGCCAAGCTATTTAAACTCTGAATAATATTCATATTAATTAAATAGAAAACAAGAAATGAGAGAAATTATTAGTACAACAAAAGTATACATCAAATGTTTGATAAGTTCAACTCGATGTTACAAGTGAGCTTATGTTCCTTAATCTTGTCGAGTAGTGTTGAATCGAACTCGTGTCTGTACCTGATCAGGTCTAACCATGATAGCATCCAAGTCCATGCCAAAGTCGTAGAACATGGGATTCACTGAAGCAAGCTTCATTGAGAGGAACTGAAAAATGGGAAAACAAAAAAACACCTCAATAAAGTTTCACTTTAATAAAGTATAAACACAGAAAGGGGAAAAAATAGGAAGAAAAGGAAAAGATTAATTACCTCCACTTGCTTTTGTAGGGACTGGACATAGTTGATAATTTCATCCAACATGAGGGCCTTTCCAGTTACCTGTTTCTCAATCAAGCCACATGAAGCTGTCAGAGAAAAACCCTTTACCAAATACCAATTATTTTTAAGTTTGAGATTACTGAACATAAGCGCTTAAATTCACCTTGTCACAACCAGGAACAAGAGATTGGAGTGCCTTCATTCTTTCACTTATTTTCTCCCTCCTCACCTGAATCCATTTGAAAAACTAAATTATATTTATCCATAATTGCACAATCTACATTCCGAACAAGATAAGAGAAGAAATTAATGATTAATGAACAGTGTACCCTTTCTGCAAGGCTGTGGCTATCAGTTGCCTGACCTCTTCTTGCTCTTACATGAATATAGCCTTTTGGGTCTTCTTCAGATTCTTTCTTCTCTTCTCCAGGCTGCTTCTTGTCTACAACATTCTTTTGCTTCTTTCCTTTCAATTCTTTCATATCCTAATTACCAAATTAATTTTAATAGAATTTTTTGATAATAAACCTGTAGAATAATCTATAAACTTTAGGACTTAATGCGTAAGGTTTTAACCTTGGGTTGAGCAGAATTTGATGAAGACCTCATTAATTTTCCTTTTCTCTTCTTCTTCTCCGCTACGGAAGTTATCTTTTGAGAGACTTGTTGATCACTACTCTCATATTTATCAGAAACTGAAGAAGAGTCCATACTGTTCTTGTTTTTTATGCTCATCAAAGAATTAGACTCATTATCGCTGAAAGAAACTTTTGTACTCTGGTCAAGGCATCTATTTCGAAGAACACCAAGATTGGAAGGCACAATAACCTGTCCAAATTCAGCGGTATTTGCACTGTTTAGTTGTTCGCAAATTTTAATGATGGAAGAGTTTGGTTGCAGAACAACTGAGTCAATAGGAAAAGGGTGCTGCTGATTATATGATGAAAAGGCTGCCATTTTTCGTTTGCTTTGGAATTCAAAATAAAACGCTTGATGGAAGAGAGATTTAGAAGGTAGCAGTGGTTCCAAGGGAAATTTTAGGTATATATAAACGTGATGAAAAGAGAGCCCTGGGGCGTAGTCCAGTGGTGTAAATGATAGGAGTGAGGTTATTTCACGTCTTACTGACAGTCACGACGTGAGGGTTCGATTCCTAAGACATAGAATGAAACTTCTTGTAGGCGTAATGTACAAGCAGCTCTTGTTCTCTAACCTGTTGAGACATATCTCGCGATTTATCTTCCTCACAGATCTCTAGAGACAGAGCGATAGGAGCCCTCAAGGCAACCTCAACCTTTTGAACGTGATGAAAAGAGAGAGAATACATATAAAATTTTCTGAAATCTTTTTCTACTCTAATCCCCATGCATTTGCTTTATATTTGACTGGTCTTTTCACACACGGATACACACTGTAGTGCATGAATAGTATTTCTCAAGGAATGGACGTGGGTGGGATTCGGGGGTATTGTTTGTTTGATTTCAAGTTTTATCTTCAATCATGTTCTTGACTCCCTTGTTTGACCCCCTTACTCTTTTATTTCTCTCTTCTCTCTCTTTCAATCACACAAATTTTTATAAAATAATACTTTACGTTAATCCAAATTTTTTCTTTTCTTTTCAATCACACATTTTTCAAAAAAATACAATTTCAAACGTTAAAATTTGAAAAAAAAAAAAAAAAAGGAGGGTCAAACAACGGCATAGTGTCAAGTGACGGTGGCTTATGATTAGACAATTGTTTAAAAAAACAGTTTTCCGCACAATACTTTTTGAACTCCAATAAAATGTGCATAAAGATGTCAACCATTGAATGTAGGCTAAGCATTATTGCATTATTCTGCCATTTTTACTGGGGAGTTAATTAATCCATTCGCAATTACAAAAAATTACAGTTGACGACAGTTACTTTTTTAAGTCCTTCAATTCCGTGAAGCAGATCTCTCTACAGTATATGCGTTTTCAGGGATCTGTTATCATTCAAGGACAATTGTTATTATGGATGTTTTTAAGTCGCGCATTTTGACCAGGAAAAATAGAAAGAGTTGTCATGGTTATTTTTGGGCATTTTTTGATAAGTGGTGCCTAAATCCCCTAAATTATGATGGAAAATCGAGGCCCGTTTAATTTCATAGGTTATAAGTCAGGATTGAAAAATTAAATCCACACAACAATTGAAGTAGTCCAATTATATTATGTATTTAGAGGTAATCAGCCCATTGGACCAAGTGCTCAATATCCAATTTGGAGGTAATTGGAAAATCACATGAAAGATAAATAAATATAATTGTTATCTTTTTCCAACCATTTTATCTCGTTTTTGAACTCTATCTTTTAGTTTTGATTTAATCTTGCAGTTTTGATTTAACCTAATCTTGCAAGATTTTTTTGGAAAACTCGTTTCTTTTTTGAAGTCTATAAATTGGAGACTCTCCTCTTCATTTTATACACACCAAAAACTAAGAGAAAAACAAAGAAAGAACTCTCCATGCCTTGTGCAAAAACACGACACCTCCTCTGCTTTCTTTGTGAATTTGTCTTTGTGACTTAAAAATGGCCTTCAAATTGGAGATACATTTGTGGTGTGAATCAAATTTTTGAGCCTAATCTAAAAAGGAAAAATCGTTCTTTAATTTTATGGTTTTTGGTTCTTGGTTTTCTTCCATTTAATCTCTACAAATCCTAAACTAATCGGTTATTTGGTTCGATTTTTAGGTGGATTTGCTGCACGGTTATAATATTATTTTTGCATCCAATCAAATATTAATTTCACTCGTAAATTCATAAGAGCGATGCTACACGTATATCAAAGAATCCATAATGGTATACATTCTCCTCACATGGAAGTGGACCCACTTCCAATAAAATATAATTTATCCAAAGTGAATCTCCTTTCAGGTGAAAAGGTGGACACACTTTTGAACATTGAATTATGTACAAGTAGCATTTTTCCAGTCATAATTAATAATTACTATTAACAGTGCGCACGGGTTGGGATCCAAGCCGACTTGCTACAAACTGAATCGATCCTAATTGAACACGTTCGATTTAAGTTGGTTCGAACGGCAGAAGTTTCAAAAATCACAAAAGCACTAGCCACCAAAAACCACCATAACCATGACTCCATTGCATCCATTTTGCAAAAATAAAACTTAAAAAAAAAAAAAAAAATTGATCTGGTGGTGTCGTGTGCGTTGATGGTGGACCTCGAAGTCTGTGGCGACTGCACATGGGGTTTGGGTAGTGAACATTCGCCGAGTTTGGGTGGTGCTAGAATTTAGAGATTGCAGAAGGAGGGGAAAAAAGAATTTTTTTTTATTTTTTGAAAAAAATGGAACCAGTTAGGATCCAACCGATTATGAACCAATTTTTTCGGGTTGGGTCCATGACCAACTCAAAAATCGAACGAAATGGGTTCCAAAATTGACCTATATCGGTTCAGAAAGGTAGTATTAAGAGCATTCACATGTGAGTAACAAGTAACATTATAAATATTGAGAATACACGCAACGGATTTAAATTAATCAATTATTTTTAGCTCCATGTGTAAATTCCCCTAGTAGCGTCAAGTAAAATGGGAGGAGTCTAAACCGTTAAAACGGTATTTAAAAATGATTTTTGAAAAGAAATGAAATTTTAAAAAAATAGAGAGGCTTGGTTTGTACAGTGCGATAGTTAGTCACATCTCGATCAACTTTGAAAGGAAGTGACCGAATCATTTTAACATTGTTATTTGTACATTCAATCAANGTGCGATAGTTAGTCACATCTCGATCAACTTTGAAAGGAAGTGACCGAATCATTTTAACATTGTTATTTGTACATTCAATCAAATTAATTAAGCTCCGACAAGTCAATATATATTTATATATTTGATATCAATTGCAATATCTAAGTCACTGCCTTACGAAAATTTGCTTCATAGTTCATAAATAGTCAGATCGAGGTACAATGTAATGGAATTTATGCACTGACGACCGACCATTAGCCAAACTTTCATACACATGTTTATCATGTAAGTAAAGATTTTATCTTCAACGTACTTACCAACTAAATTAGAAAATATTTTCATCTTCATGCTGCTAATTTAGTCATCAAATGGTTCGAGGGTGATCGGTCCCCAACCTTCTTTCTCCATGAGCTAGAGAGGAGATTGGAGCTTCAGTCAGCCAACGCCTGCTGAAGGGGGGAGCCCAGGGCTGCCCCAAGCCCATTTTGATTTTTCAAAGGTTAAAATAAAAAAGTTCAATTTTATTTTTTTATTTTTTTGAAATACCCGCTGGCTCAGTTCCTGCAGACAGAAATACAAGCCTATATAAAACCAAAAAATAAATGAATGTATTGTGTCTTTTCTATATAACCCTACGCCCTATCAAAGATCAGATTGTCATGAATGAATTAATCACGAATTTGGTTCAGACAAAACTTGTTTGTCAAGGGATCATTATCTATGTGATTTTGGAACAGTGGAAAATCTGGAATTGATTTTGAAGAAGATGCTAATTTACTCAACAATGATAATTGTTTCTTCCAACAACTTGCGTGAATACATCCAAACCAAAACCCTATTTGCAAAGGTCTTTTTCGAAGAAACACCGGGTCCACTAGTGTGTGGTGAGGTTTATGTTTTTCCATACTGTTCTGGATATTGGATATTGAAGAACGTATGTTCAAGTCTCGTTGTTACCTTAAAAGTTAACGGTAAAATTTCTAATTTGTATCTCTTATTTGAAAGAAACTTAAACAAGAGGAACGGAATAAGAGCTTATTCTTATTTAAATTTTCGACAACCCAATTTTCAATATTTGTTTATATAAGTGGTATGACGATATTAAAAAGTGGAAATTATATGTAAACAAGCATTTAAGTTTTTC